ACTATAATGGGATTAACGTATAAAAAGTAACATATGTATTTATTTATATTTTTTTTTATATTTATCAGAAATTATTACTGACATTTTAATGAGATCTCTTAAGTTCTTTGACTTAAAGATGAATGCATTTCAGGCAGGGTCTTGACCCTAATTAAACAAACGCTTAAAGCTAGCTCACAAATACACACACACATTTCTAACACACTCTCTCTCTCTTCATTTCGCCTTCTGCTTTATTGGGCTTTCTCATAAATTTATATACCCAGTTTATTTTTTTGAGGCAGCTGAAACTAATGCACGCCAATTTTCAATACAGAAAATCGAACTTTGAAGTGGACGCCGACGCGTCGCGTTCTATTTTAAATGCTGCCAGCAGAAGGCGCTAGAAAGGCAGCACGATTCTTATGAGCCACGATTGAACTTTACTTGCAACGCGACGCGTCGGCTGCTGCTGTTGCACATCGCGTGCTTGGCCAAAAACCACTTGAAACTATTATTGATGAACACGCGCGATGAACCGAGGGGCAGATTATGGGGACAATGGCAGCAAGTGTTGGGGCGCCAGAGGCGGGGCGGTCAGACGGGAACAAAAGCCAGCTGACTGACAGCAACAGCAGCAGCAGCAGCAGCAGCTGTTGGCAGCATTGCTGAGCCGTGGGTGGCGCGGCCATTGAGTTGTCGCGGCAACGAATGCGTTTTGTGCGTGTTAAAGCGCACAGAAAATATGAAAAGCATAAAAAAGCGAAGAGTATATGAAAGCGAAAACGAAAAGAACGCTGCTTACTCCAAGGCGCAGGAGGAGCACAGCACTTTAGCACTTTTTATGCTTGGCGATAAATTAAAATTTTTATTAACATACTTTTCTGTTAGCTGCAGCCACGCCTCCCTCCCTACCAGGCAGCCCGCTTAACAAACGTCAGCTTGTCGGGCACTCGACGTACTCTCTTCTCTCTCTCTCACTCTCTCTCTCTCTTTTCTCTCTCTATCGTGCAATGGGAAATTCCTATCCAAGCACTTTTTATGAATCGAGCAGCGCACGCAAAAACTGACCCCTTAGTGGCAGCCCCCACCTCTACCCTATCCCTCACTCCTCTCGCTCCCTCCTCTTCTTGGCTGGCTATACAATTATAATTTGTTGACGCGTCCACTAAGGCTTTCGAGGAAAAGCGAAAATAAATAAAAGTGCTTGCTCAGTGACAGAGTTTCAGGTCTGATGAGTTTTCCATCTTAAGCGCATTTCCCCCAACGAGCTGCAATTGCAGGCTGCTCCGCAGTGAGACGACACTATTATGGCCATGGCCCAAACGATTAACATTTTTCCATTTTACATCAAATTATGCATACGGTAAGGCGATAAAAGTGTTTAGATTGGCATTGAATCGAAAGGCGAAAGCGAAAGCGTAAAGATAAGTTGCAATAAGCTGTGAAGTCATAGCAAAAGCATCGAATGTCATTCAAGTTGAGGCTGCTTCGAGATTAAATCCATTCAACTTGTGACATGCTGATGAAAAAATGGAACTAGCCCGGCTTAGGTCTACAAGCCAAAGCAAATGCTTAAGTTTTATGAGCGTGAAGCGTAAATAGAAGCGCAAATGGTCGTAAAGGAGAAATCAGTAATGTAAGAAAATCAATTTCCAAGAAAGAAGTTTTAAGAGAAGCGCAGAGAGAAGCGCTGAAGCTTGAAATTTATTAATATAGCAATGGACTGATACCGAATGATAAGAGAAGGGAAAAGGGAGAAAGAAACTTTAAAAGTGCAGCATATAAAAGCGTAAAGAGATAAGCAACCGCAGCAAGCGAAGCAAGATTTCAATAAAGAAAAAAAAAAGCAAGAAAAACAAGAAGCGCAATCAAAAATATATTGAAATGCGTAATGAGAAATACTGAAGATAAGCCAAATATGCGAAGGAAGTGAGAGAAACGCGAAAAGATTCCGAATAAAAAAAAACAAAAAACAAAAAAGAGGAAGTAATGCAAAGGTAAATAAAAGCAGAACCAGAAAAGCAATGCGAAATGCCTTGACATGTATAATGAGAAGCGCAGAGAAGCGCGCTTTATCAAAGAACCAAAAATGACAATGATTTATCAATTAATGTGGGAAGTAATGAAAAAGGGAGTGAGAAGTAAACAACAACAAATTCAGAATGGTGGGAAATCATGAAGAAGTGAATGAGAAATAAACTGAAGCAAGAATTACACCGCTATAAAGAAATTTAATATTGTTAATATATTAATATTTTAATATATACCCCTACATATTTTCATACTTTTAAATTTTTTTAACCGTTTAACTAATATTATTTATTTATTATTTTTATTACTTATTATAAATTTATATTTGGCATTTATTTGTATTTTTATATCTATGCATTCATTTATAGAAATATTTCTACATATTTATAATTAATCTCCCAATGCACAATACAACAATAAATTCTATTCTTTTTTGTTTTTTTTTTTTCTATGCGTGTAATTGAGCTGTTAAAAATGATTCAGCAGATTAAATGAACAAATTTATTTTCTATCCAGATTACAAATTTTATTGGAATTTCAGCATTGGCACTGAAAAAAGTGGAATGAGTGGACAAAAAAATAACATTTGTTATTCAAATCACTAGCTAACGATTATTTATTGTTGATTCTTATATTCAAAAAAAAAAAAAAATAAATAAATAAATAACCAATTGCGCATTTAATTAAAAATTAATTGAAACATGTTTAATTCCGTGCGGCATTCAAACAAACAGAACAAACGACATCTAGCGAAATTTCAATCGCCAAATTCAACAAATAGCACGTAGTAAACACCCGAACCGCCGACCTTCCGAACCCACTTAGTAGTAGAGCTGTCCTCTCGGTCGCACTGCCCTACCTGTAATGCTCGTATGCTATGCAAACCCTTTTCACTGCAGTGAGTGAATGCCATGAATGTGATTGTGAATGAAGCGTAATTCAATCGTCTCTCGGCCAGCCGACACACAAATAAACAACAATCGGGCGCATCAACTCGAAATATAATTCAATTAATATTTCATATTTATTACAAATCATAGCAAAATAAATAAATTTATAAATGCAATCAACGGAGAGGCCTCACATTCCATGCAAGAAACATCGAAACCAAAATTAGCAAATAAAACCAATATGAAACTCATGAGAAGCGCAGAGAGCAGCGCTGTATATGAATTGAATAGAATGAATTTGAATAGTTAAATAATCGACTCGAAGAGAATATTATTGTTAAAATTATTTTAAATAATGATGATACGCATTGAGAAGCTGTATGAGAAGCACAGAGAACAGCGCAAGAGATAAGCGGAAAAAGAATGATAGTTTTTAAATTGATTTGATCTACCCCACTTCTCATTTCATATATCTACAGGGTGAATGCGAATTGTGAATGTCTGCTTTGCTTACAAAATGTTTTTTAATTGAATTTCAGATAAAAGACATAAAGAATAATTCATATATATGTGGCGTAACAATTGCCAGTGGGCGTGTCGCTGACAGCAAACGAAAATAATATGCACAAACACACTCACATATACATCTATATGTACATATACATATGTATGTGTAGCTGTAGATCGGAGAGTAAATGACATTGGAACAGACAATTCGCTCACATTAACCGCAGATGCAGCAGCAGGACAATGGAGTCGTGGCCTGGTCTGGTCTGGTCTGGCCTGTCCTATCCTGTCCTGTCCTGGCAGGACCTGGTCTAGTGCTCGCTTCAATATTTATTGAAAGGCTGCGTGCGTGAGTAAATGACAATTTTATTGCGCAGCTCGCTCATTAAAAAATTTATAGACCAGACAATGGGGTAGCCTGCCGCTGAGGTTAATAATGGCAGCGGCAGGACCTTTTAATCATCAACACAATTTCTGAACTGTTTATAGTATTTTATATATTTTTCGCGTTTGCATTGTTTTGCTTTTATTGCTGCTGCTGCTGCCGCGGTCGCTGCTACTGCGGCCTGGTGTTTAAATTGCTCGACGATTTATGGAGGACAACAGGAAATTGAAAATGCCATTAAATGCGGTTACACATGGACACTTCATAGGGGGCGGGGACTGTACTTTTGTTAATGTTACTCCACAGCATATGAGAGATTCCCTCGTTGAAGCATAACTTAATAATCACTTTATAAGCGATATAAACCACTCAGCATGGCATAGATTAAGGAATTTAAGCAGTGAATGTTTTTATAGTAATTATATGGAAAATAAGAACGTATATATTATATATAAATAAGTACATACAAGATATATGAATTATTATTTTATTATTATTATATTATATTGGTTAAATTATTTCCCTTTAATGTATAAACATTTTTGTTAAAAAAAAAAGTTTTTTAACCTTTAATATTGTATTTATAATAAAATATGTATATAAACCTTATGGATATATTTTCGGCTGTAGAAAATAAAACTCTTGCGAACAAAAATGGAAAAACAATTTTTGTTTTTTGATTATGTTCAACAATAAGTAAAAACATTGCGAAGATATTCCTATAAATTTATTTAATTAATTATAAGTCATATTCAATTTAATCGAAATTGAACTGAAGAAGCCTTTAAATTTTAAACTTTAATACACACATTATATATAAATATATGCATGTAGACAAAAAACTATATTAGAAAATTTTATTCACTCACAATTGATTCTTTTATAACATATAAAATTTTGTATTAATATTTTTTATTTTCTCAATATTTATTTATATTCTTTTAATAAGTATTCATATTTTTTGTTTGTCTTTTAATATAACCATAAAATTTATTTGTATGTATTTATAACGAGTATATTTCCACATAAATAATTAGATTTGACCACCTCTAATGCAATCGCTGGTTCAACAATTCCACATGGTAATATAATTAAAATGAAATGACTTTCAATTTGAGCATTCGCTTACCAGACAAAAGAGTTGAAGAGTTCCTCGCTTTGCCCGTGAAGTAGACCTCAAGTGGAGCACAAGGACGTAGAACGACTTTCTTTTTTTTTTTTTTACTTTCTCAATTTACGTTAAGTGGTTGTGTTTGTATGCCGCGCGCCAAAAACTATGCAACACAAACTGTGAATGTCTTCTGGTTGCGTTGTTGGCCAACTGCCGCCGCCGATGTCAATGCCTGATGTCTGGTAATGTGATTAGTTGGCTCTGCCGCCGACGCGAATGTACGTGTGTGAGTAAATTTTAATTTAATTATGTCGTCGTCGTAGTCGTGCACTCCTGTTGTCCGCCTCGCTCTTCAGCTACGAAAAAACAGCTTAAAGCAAACGAGCGCAAACTAAAGACACGCACTAATAAACAAAGGCAACAATAACAGAAAAAAACAAAAGCCAACAGCGCCCGGCAGCGGGTTCTACGGTGCAGGGGGCGGTAGCGGACAACGGGCTATACCGTTAGCACAAGTTCAGTTAGCTCGACCGAATGTCGACTGAATGTGGAATGTGTGCGTGTGAGTGCAAAACGAGATGCGAAATGCGAATTGTGAATTGCGAATGCGAACGATGCACAACGGAACCTCAGACTGTTTTAGTTGAACGCTGACGCTGACGCTGGCTGCTCTGTCGCTGACGCTGACGCTGGCTGCGCTGTCGCTCTCCTTCTGGCGATGGCTGGCAATCGAATGCAACTGCTGCCGCTGCCTGCTACAAGCGACTGCTCGGCGTCTCTGTTGCATACGCTGGGGCAAGCTGTGCGAGGAACGTTTCGGCAATGGAACACTCGCGAGTCACTTTGCCTTTTGAGTGCAACTTGCAGGCAGCTGAGTGTTCCGGAACGGGTTGGAAAGTACTAAAACACACCAAGAGCACACACCTGTGCTTGAGACGAAGGGGGTGTCTCTCTCTCTCTCTATCTCTCTCGCTATGTGTGTGCGTGTTCATGTGTTTTATATTGACAAGAAAGCTAGACGAAAATTTAATTGAGTTTACGATACTTACACCCTACTTAGAGCGCACACAATTCAATATTTGGCTCATTACTGCACTGTGAGGGTAGTTTGGCCTAGGGGCTGTGTTACCCACTGCACATGCCTGTATTAAAAAGCCATAACATTCAAATTATTGCTTTTGACAAACACCTATTTACTATCGGCTACATGTGTACTTTGCCGCCAGGGTAGAACAAGCAATTTAAACCAAGGAAGAACAAGAAATGGAATAGATAAAGCACATGAAAATAAGTCCAACAGCCCAATCGATGTGGCTACCCCTGTAACTGTTCCTTAATTAAAACTATTAGCCATCCTGAAACATTTCGTAGCTATATTCAGACACTTAAGCTACAGATTATGGTTGATACAGCAGAGGAGAGATTTGATAGAGATTTCATACTTAGTTCCAACTAAAGCAGAGTCTCCTTGAAATTAATTAGAAAATTAAATATTTTATATAATTATCTTATTAATAGAATTATTAGAATAGATATTAATAGAACTACTGTTTTGTTACAATTTTATTTTATATTTTGCGCATTACTTGAAATACAAATAAAGGTTTTAAGGAAAAGAGAAGGCTATTATGATATGTGCAAGGAGTAGAATGTATGATTAAAAATTCGTAAGTGCAAGGAGTAGAATGTATGATTAAAAATTCGTAAGTGAGAGAGAGATAGAGAGAAATACAAAAGACTCAATTTTTTTTGTTATTGCATAGTATTTATAAATTCGAATCGAATATATAATATAAAATACCTTTAATATATGTATATAGAATATCTCTAAAATCGTAGGCATTATAATAACAGATATTATTATTATATTATATGCATATGCATTAAGATATGTTTTACTTTATCAATTATAGCATATGTCTGATTCGAATTGTATTTATTATGCGTGTAAGAGTAGCAGTAGCTGTAGGAGTACCAGCTGCAGGAGTAGCTGCAGAAACAGCAGCTATTATACCCACATCTTTCGATATGGCTGCCTGGTTAGCTGTCTGGATTGTATATCCTGGTCTTTGTGTGGCTTGCGCTGTGCCTGTCCAACTGGCTGTGGCACCTGCTCTATAACATATACAAAATGTAATGATGCACTTCTACCGGATGCTACCTCTACCGCTGCCGCGTGTGGATGGTAGTTTCAGCAGTTGGTGGCAGCAACGACAGGCGCCACAATAAAAGCGCTGCACGCACTGCAATATGCAACAGTTGCAAATACGCAAACAGAGCCAAAGAGCTGCGGTTACAGAACCCCCTGTGTGCGTGTGTGTGTGTGCGTGTGTTCGTCTCTCTGTATATAAAGTAAGTCGTTGTGTAATCTATCCATGAAAGTCGCTTCCGTTTTGCATTTTGTATGCTTAACGCATCGTTTGGTCGTGTAAATTGGGGTTTCAATGTTGTTGTTGTTGTTGCCGCCGTTTTTGTTGTATTTCGCATTTCACTCGCAAAATAAAGTGAAGCGAAAATGTTGACGTTTACGTCGATTGGATATGCCTTTGACATAACCGCATATCAATTGTGCCAAAAGCATTTACCTTGGCCCGTTCGACCTTGGCTTTAAGGCGGGCAAACTGTTGCTTTGCTGTGCCAATTAAAATCTTTGACATCTCAACAGCCTCGGCAGACATTCAATTTAAGTAATAATATCTAATCAAAGGAGAAATGTAAAATGTGGCCATTGTCATCTCAACTAGAAATTCAGCTGATAGAGATGCACATGGAAAAATAGAATATATAAAATATATATAGAAAAAGCTACAGATACAGATACAGATACAGATACAGATACAGATACAGATACAGATACA